TCTCAACCTTCTCAGTTCTCTTTCCTCCTTGTGTTCCTTACAAATCCAGGCTTTATCTTTGTTATTTGTAACACCTTTTCATTTGGTGAAACACGTTTTTAGTTCTTTGGGCTCTGAAGAAGACCTGGTAATCTAGTTTACACTAATTTCCCTTTTATTTTTTGATTGGACTTTTAACAATGAATACTTCATTGTCTGTTAAAAGAATAATATTACTTGGCCTTCACTTTTGAGGAGCTGATAAAGTTCTTTGCTTCTCATGTCTGGATTGTGTGGCTTCAAGTTAACCTAGTCCTAGTACAGAGTATTTACTCTAACTGGCACAAATACCTGTTAAACTTTGACAATTTAGGTTCCTTGATATTTTATTCATATTTAAGGCTGTTTACTCTTTACTATAAATAGAACATGATATAGCACATTTTTTTAGTGTTTTAAAACAAATTTAGGAAAATGGTTGTAACTGTATGTTCTAAGACCTTAAGAGGAAAAAATAGATGAGAATCCAAACAGCATCTTAATCTGTGCTATAAACTCAGATAAAGAGATCACTGGATATCTTAGGCAAAAATGGATAATCTCTAACAAAGACTTCACCAAGATGTCAACTGAAGGGTGGTTTTACTTCCCAGGCAACAGAGATTCCTGATGTCCATGCAACTCAGACCAACTCTGTTGTTCTCTTTCTGCTTATTGGGCTTGCTGGCTTAACTCCTTCTCTATCTTTTCTGCATCTGTTGCTTCAGTTCAGACATTGTTTCTACATACTGATGTTCAGTTTGTTCCCACCTTTCAGCTTCTACTCTATCCAATATCCCTTCTACAATATGTCTATTTAACCTCAGATTTTACTGAAAAAAATATTTGTTTAAACCAGCATTTTTTGATTCACGTTGGAAAAATATTTAATTGGCTAGAGTTTATTATTATTATTTTTTTTCTGCCAGCATTAAAGTCCCTTGATCCATCAGTGAATGTACTGCTATGGGTCCAGCCAGCCAAAGGAGATAAAACTTGCTTCCAAGGCTCCTGCATCAGCAGGGACTATATGTGAGATCGTTACCCTTAGAAGGAGAATGTCTATTACAGGTGCTGAGACTGACATGTTGAATATAATATGCTACCTGGAAAGGTGCTAACAATTTATATTTTGGAATCATTTTGGGGAATATCTCTATCAAAGCCTGAGAATAAAGGGTTTTGAGAAACCCATGTGGCACATTAATGTTGACCTTTTTCTCTAGCTTTGTAATCATTACTTTCTGTTGCTTAGCAACTCTTTAGCATAATTTGCAAACCTAATATTAACTTGAAATACATTAGAAATGAAAACTGTAGAAATGTAACTCTTAAACATTGTTATTGTTTCAAATTACTGTCAGCATAACACGATATTATTATAAGAGAGACCATTCAATGTAGAATATTTCTTGACATTTATGATTTAATATAAAATAAAGCTAACTTCAAGGCACTTTAATTAATAGCAATAGAAATGTAATAGCAATGGAAAGTTTTTCAGCAGCTTTTCACATTCCTTAATCTAAATAACTCTTCCCAAGAGGAAGAGCAAAACAAAACCCGAAATTATGTATTTTTTCTTCTTTTTTGAAAATCGTTCATAAAGGCATAAAAGTGTGGCTTTTTTTTTTTTTTTTTGAGTAGTACAATGCCATAATCACCTTAATGACCGTTATTCTTCTTTTCAGAATTTAGGTAGTGCTTTGCTAAAGGATTGTTTAGGTAAGGCAAAAGCTCTCAGCACCTATCATGGAAAAATAGATCACAGAGAAACACATTAATTGTTCTGTCAATGAATTGTTCTGTGCATTGAAAACTTATCCTCTAGGCGCTATGCTACAGTCATTACTAATAAGATAGGCTGCACTTGGTCAAACTAAGAGCTATATTGAGCTAGTGTTCACACTGCTAGTGATGTGAAAACTAAGCATGGAGAATTTACATCAAGACCTATTAAATTTCTGAACATGTAAAGGCTTTTTCACGATGAAAATAAATACTAAACCACGTGTCTAAAAATGAAAAAGATTCAGGAAATATATTCTGACCTTTGAAAATTAGATGTTAAGCTCAAAGAGAAATGTCTTAGTCCTTTTTCTTTTGATGAAATTTACACCTTCCACAAGATAGTGAAAGGACTCTTAACTATTTCTCTTTCTTTTTTTTTTTTTAGTGAGAGATTTTTGATATAGGGTGCATGCTCTCACTAGAGAGAGAGAAAGAGGAACAGAAAGTGAGAAATCACTCCCCCAGGGGTGATGGCCAGGCCATAATCCCTTTCCCTCCATTCTCCTCTCAGAATTTTGGACACACACACACACACACACACACACACACACACACACATTCCCAGCATGAATTTTAAGCTTCCAGGTCCAGGACTGAACTGTACTCGACTATGTGGGAGTCTAGTGACATAACCATTATGCCATCTGCTGGTCCCCAGGACTCTTAACTTTTGTTGGGATAATGACCAATTTGAAAATTTAACAAAAATTTTAACTTTTCTCCTAGAAAAATGGCAAGTATATGAGGTAATGGATATGTTAATTAGCTTGATTTCACCTTTCTACATTATATGCATTTAACATCTCATTGTCCCCCAAATATATACAATTATAATTTGTCAATTAAAAATAAAAATTACAACACATTATAATGTATTCCCTAGTTCTGTAGAACTGCAAAAGTCTTTTCATGAAATTGCAATATAAAATCAGAAATCCTGATTTTATAAACAAGTTTATAGCAAAACCCAATTAATTCAGTTGAAAAACAAGCAGTCTGAATAGATACCTTCTTAAAAGAAGATATATAAATGGCCAACAAGCATATGAACAAATGCTCAACATCACCCATCATCAGGGAAATGTAAATCAATACTATGAGATATCATCTCACTTCAGTTAGAAGGTAATGTCAAAAAAAGCCAAAAAAAAATGCTGATGAGAATGTGGAGAAAAGGGAACTCTTGTATACTGTTGATAAGAATGGAAATTAGTACAAGCATTATGGAAAATGGCATGGATGTTACTAAAATAACTGAAATCACAATTGCTGTGTGATCCGTATGATCCGGGAATCTCACTACTAGGCATATACCTGAAGGAAACAAAATTGAGTACGTTGCACAGATTTCTGCACTCCAGTGTTTGTTGCAGCACTAAACACAATAGTCAAGATATGGAATCAGCTTAAGTGTTCAATAGACCAATAGATAAGGAAATGTGGAACACACACACACACACACACACACACACACACACACTATTCATAGTAGTCAAGATATGGAATCAGCCTAACTGTCCGTCAACAGATGAATGAAAAAAGAAAATGTGTTTTTCTCTTTTGCATTCATCTGTTGATGGTCAGTTAGGTTTATATTACATGTAAGTTTATATATATATATATATAAAATGCTATTCAGCCATTAAAAAGAATGAAATACTGTCATTTTAGACAACATAGATGATCCTGCAGGATTTTCTGTTAAGTGAAATAAATCAGGCACAGGATGAGGTAAAACTGCACATTCTCACTAATATGTGGAACTAAAATAGTTGACTTCATAGGTGCAGAGAACGAAATAGTGATTACCAGAGTCTGGGCAGGGAGGGAAGAATGGTGAAAGGGAGAGGGTGGGTAACAGATATATAAAAGGAATAAATTCCAGAGTTCTATAGCATACTAACCATACCTAACAATAATATGTTTTTCAAAATAGGTAAAAGAGAATTTTTAATGATTTGAACACAAAGTAATGACAAATGTTCAAAATGAGAGATATGCTAATCACTCTGATTTGATCATTATGCATTGTATACATGTACTGAAACTCATACTGTATTCCATAAACAGTTACAATTATATTTGGTAATTAAAAATAGGAGAAAAATAGAGTCCCTTATTCTGAAGAACATGTTCTTAGTGGGTGAGGTGAGGATGGCCGAAGAAGAGTAAATTCAAATGAAAATGTTAGATTTAGAGTGTTTGAGGCTAAATGTATTTTTTTTTTTTTACTTTTTTTGGGGGGAGGTTTTCGCTATAGGGCGCGTGTGCTTGCCAGACAGAGACAGAGAGACAGAAAGCGAGAAATCACCCCCCAGGGGGGATGGTCACGCCGCAATCCCTTCTCCTCCATTCTCCTCTCGGGATCTTGGGCACGCACGCACATGCGCCTCATGTGAGTTTTAAGCCACCGGGTCTGGGACGTGAACTGCGGTCACCTATGTGGGAGTCCAGCGACATAGCTATTACACTAACTGCTGGTTCCCAAGGCTAAATGTTTTTTGAAACTAAGGGTGTTTTACCTGAAGTTGATTTTTTTCTTCAATCATTGCTAAACTCTTCCTCATTTCTTTACAAGTAGCATAAAAATGAAACAAAACAGATTAAAATTTTGAATTTTATCTCTGTACTTAGCTAAGATTGTTAGATAGTCAAATAGTTTCTCTTAGCCTGTTTACTGATCTGTAGAATGGAGGTACCTAGTTCAAAATGTCATTCTAAGAATTAAATGAGATTACATGTAAATTTCAAAGCAAACCTTCAAAATATATGCATTATTTTATTTACTGACATATACCAATGTTTTCTATTTTAATGTTAATTTGTAGGTCAATAATTATTCAGCCAGAAAGCTCATTGAAATGCAACTGAAGCAGTGATCTAAAATAAGACACTTAAGACTCTTCCTAAATAGCATATTGTCTTTGATAAAAAGATGATAATGCTTGGTAAATTTGAGTTATAGTAATAAAATAGAAGCTTTGCTAAAACAAACTTGCAGAAGTGTTAGAGGTGTTTACAGCCTGAGTTCTCTTGCTGTACTTCTATCAGATTTTTTGTGTTACTAGATAAAAATATTTTTTAAGAAGCAATTTGTTTTCAATTCCAGTGAAAACTATTATAAATCTTGCTCTTTAAGATTTGTTAATAAAAATTATATCTATTGTATATATTTGTTTTTGACATTGCAGAGTACAGATGATTCGGATATTTCTGTCATTGCCCAGAACAGGAAATGCTTTGACAACGTTATTGTTTGTTCTAAAAGTGTTTTGATTTCAGTTGGGGACACTGAAATTTATCTGAACGACACTCCTTACAAACAGGTTAGTGAATTATTTCTTTTGGGATCATTTTAACTTGCTGAAAATGGAATAGAGATGATTTGGGATACTTTCTGTTACTGGTTGTAAGGGCTAGATTTTTTTCTTTGTCAGTAAATCATACTTGTTTCTTCTGTCTATAGTCTTGTCTCTTATCTTTTCATATTCCAGTTCTTCCCTCTTTTCTTAATTTCCACGATCACTGAGTCCAACAGCAGCCCACATCTATGACCTGGATTACTTCAATACCCTCCAAACTGGACTCCTGGCTTCCATCCTAGTTCTTCCCCTCTAATCCATCCTCTCATATTGAAGCCCGGCTGGGTTTTCTAACATGGAAATTTTATGTCCTGTCATTGTGGTGCTTCAGAACTTTCAAGTGATATTTCTTCACTGCTCTGCAAGGCCTTGTTGCCTACTTCTCTTGGCTATCTATCACTTTTCATCTCAAGCCCACTTGTCAGAAGTTAGAGCTTTCATGAGTTCTTCACATGCTCTGTGCTCTTTCTCTCATCTCCGGTGCATGGTGGACATCATTGCACTTACTGGGTCTATCTTCCCTTTTTACTTACTCTTAAGGGATAGGCTTCATCTCATCTCCTTCAGGGAATGCCTCCTTTTGCCCTTAGGCACCTTGTTAGAATATGCATCATCCTTTAGTGAAGATTCTTGTGCAAGTATCTGTATTCCCTAGCTGTCTACAAGTTCTGTGAAAACTGGGGTCCCTGGGAACCAGCAGTTAGTGTAATGGCTATGTTGCTGGACTCCCACGTAGTCGACCGCGATTCGCTTCCTGGACCCGGTGGCTTAAAATTCATTCCGGGCACGTGTGCGTACGTTCCCAAGATCCCGAGAGGAGAATGGAGGAGAAGGGCTTGCGGCGTGACCATCCCCCCTGGGGGGGGCTTTCTCGCTTTCTGTCTCTCTGTCTCTATCTGTCTGGTGAGCGCACGCGCCCTATAGCGAAAACCTCTCAAAAAAAAAAACAAAAACTGGGGTTCCTGTCTCCCTTGTTTATTCTAATATCCTGAGAACTGGCCCAATTTAAAAGAAAGAACAAATTTCTTTTATTTATTCTTTCAAAACCACTGCTAAGTACTGAGAGTACAGCAGTGTGGTTACAGTGTCCTTGGTTGTGAGGAACTTACACTCATGTGAGGGGCAGTCAAGTAAATCAGCATATGCGGCTTAATGTGCTACGGCAGGAGTTCATAGGCTTCTGTGAGAACGCCTGGGAAGAACATCTGAAACAGCCTTAGATTTTAGGGCACTGTGTAGACTACCTGTAGACTTCAGCGTCAATCAGGACTAATTTAGAACTGCTGCTTGTTACTTCCTCGTTCTGTTCTGAGAAAGTTTATTTAAACTCTGTAAGCTGTAAATTAGGGATTATTATAGAATCTACTTTCTAAGTCCTTGTGAAAATTGAAAAGAAAATATAAAATAATGAATTTAAAGGAATGACTCTCCTCTTCCTTGTTCTTTCTCATTTCTGAAGATTGAGAAGACCTGCTTTGGATGAAATGATTTGTCCTGAATATCAAAGGATAAGTAGATACTTAACTAGATGAAGAGAAGGAATCAGTTGGCAATCAGTACAGAAAAGCATTTTTATCTTTAGTTCAGAGGACAGAGTTGACAGTTAAAATGGCTTGTTTGGATAACTGTAAGTGGTTTAGTTTGGTTTAAGCAGTGCGTGGGTCAGTGGACAGAGAGTGTGGCAAGGAGATTTAGGGAGTAGTGTCCTGATCGACTGTCACACAAGGGCCACAGGGACAAGGGCCATAGACTAGGGAGGTTGGTCAAGACGAAGGAAGCCCCTGCTGCACGGC